CTATATAGAAAGGCAGGCAGTGCCTCTCATTAGGAGTGCAACTATATTGATTGCTTTTTTCCTGTGTGTGAGTTGTCATTTCTTTGCATGTTACAATTTTTCTTTGTAAAGAATGGATGGGACATTTAAAATAATATAACGTGGCAACTTTGAATATCAGATTTTACCCCTTCTCCAAAGCTTGTTGTTGTTTGTTGTTGTTATTTATTTGTTGGTTAGATGACTTTTTAAAATGAATTTTGTAAAGTCTATATTCTTTGTCATGTGCGACCACTGAAGTCTCTGCTCAGTTAGCTTAAAGTTCAGTTAATGAATGGACAGAAATTTCCTTAGATGCCTGGAGCCAATCAATCACCCAGCTTTGCCAAGGATGTGCAGAACTTCAAGGTTATACACAGGCGAGATCTTAGGGTTTTTTCAGGTTTTTCCTGAGCCTATGCACAGCCTCTGGATGTGAGCACAGCCCTACTCATATGTGTGACTTTTTAGATGCCCACGAACATGTCAGCGCTTTGCCTAGCCCTTATGTACAACTGTTTCTCACTGCCTCTGGCAGCCTCAGTGTTCAAGTTGCCTCTGACTACCTTTGGTAAACTCCCCCAAGGGAAAATGTTGTTCCTCTTGCTGCTCCAAGTTCAGATCAAATAAAGATCGCCTTTTCAGTGGGGTCTTTCAGGGAACCACCAGGTCAGACCAACAATGACAATCTTCTGGGAACAGGGCTTTGAAGGAGCTGCAGGTGCATTTTGTCCTCTCTGGTGGCCAGGCGGGTGGTTCTCCTTATGACTGTAGGCTGTTCGTTTTCAAGGCTATTGCAGAGTTGGAGAGAGGAGATGGGAATAGGGCAAATTTAAATGTCACAGATCTTGCCGTTCTTACTGAGATTCAGGCGCTTTTCATGAATAAATGTTCCTCAGATTGCTGCAAGTCTTTGGTCACTTTCTAGAATTCTGAAAAAGTTGATTCTAACAGATTCTGCCAGTGCTTTCATTGCTTCCACGAAGGACAGACTTGCTAGAGGGCCTACTCATGCCAGTTTTGCAGATGTAACTCTAGAAGTGCTTTTTTCACTATGTTTTTAAAAGATAAAAAGTTGAATTCGTGACTTCCAATGCCATTCTCATTCTAGAATATTCAATGTTAGCTAATAGATCTCATTTTCAATCCATCCTGGAGTATACAGTGTACCTTGTTTTTTTGGTTCTTTTTTTTTCCTTTTGGATCAAAGTCTCATTCTGTTGCCCAGACTGGAGTGTAATGGTAGGCTCATAGCTACTGCAATATCTACCTGCTGGGCTAGGGCGATCCTTCCACCTCAGCTTTCCAAGTAGCTGGAACTACAGGTATGCACTGCCACACCCTGCTAATTTTTTGATTCATTGTAGAGATGAGGTCTCGCCAAGTTCTGCGGGCTGGTCTCAAACCCCCGGACTCAGACAATCCTCTCGCCTCTGTCTTCCAAAGTGCTGGGATCACATGCATGAGCCACTGCACCTGACTATTGTACCATTTTAAAAATAAATGTGCCTGTTTAAGATAAACTGAAACAGACTTTATACAGTGCCAAAATATGAAACACAACAAACTGTATTTAGTTATCAGCTTCTGTTTTGTTTTATTCACACTTAAAAAAAATTACCTCTTGTGTACAGTTTCTCAGTTTAAAATGAATTAGTCTAACAGGATGGGAGATATTATACCAATATAAGTAAAATTTAAACCTCAGAGACTATTGAAAAGGTAAAAATGAAATAATAACTGACTGATAGCATTTCACAGAGTTGAATTATTAGTATATACATTTGTTGAATAGTTTACCTTTTAAAAATACATTGTTATTAACTATAGTCACCATGTTGTAAATAGCTCTCTTGAACTTACATCTCTTATCTTACTAAAATTTTGTATCCCTGAATGGTTTACTTTTAATTCTAAAAAGTAGAATTCTGAAATCTATTGTAATTATTATTACCAAATGTTGATATGTTCATACTAATTCATTCTTTATATATTCAAGATCCATTTTTGTACAAAGTACTGAAAACATAGGTAAGGAATCAGCTAGACATGATGCAAAGTCATTTTACTCAAGTTATTGAAAGACAAATGTGAGGATATGATGCCATATTTGTTGACAATGATGCTTAATGAAGTGTTCATGCAAATTAATATTCCAGATATCTGAAGCCAACCCTTTTTAATTTAATTATTTTGAGATGACTCTTTCCAAACTACATAAAATACTTATTTGCGAAATTAGAGCCTAGTGATCTAATATCTCAGTGGCAAATAATCATTTTAGGTAGTTCATTGTCCTGTAAAACAGTGATGACCACCTTGGCTCTTGTAGGCAAGGGCTACTCACGGGTGACACATGCTGTGCTTTTGAAGTTTTCTTACTCTTTCACAAAGTATTGTACCTCACATTTTACATTAATATCTGCTCGTCATAGATTTCTCATCTATTTTAAATTTGAGCTTGCTACTTTCTAATCTGTGGGCTGACCCACCAGATAAAGTTTGGCACCTACTTGAGTTCTTACCATGTCCTAGGCACCATTCTAAGTGTTTGAAATGTCTTTATTTAATTGTTCTAGTGTCCCAAACAGAAAGGAACTATTATGATCTGTTTTTAGATAAGAAAACTGAAGCACAGAAAGATTAAGTAACTTGTGGAAAGTTACATAGCTTATAAGTAGGAAGGCAGGGATTTAAATTCAGACTGCTGGCTCTTCAGTTCATGATGTTAACCATATACTGTATCATGTAGAAATGTTTGTTAGAAGTACATAGAAATTCACATAAGAGTAAATGGGGTCTAGTAAAATATCTGGGTTCACTGTGAAAAATACATGAACTTAGGTAACATCTTTGTGACATCTATTTTAGTCTCCCACAGAATGTGTGAGTATAACTGCATGTGTGCAGATTTCTTGTGTATGTATCAAATAGGTAAGATGTCCAGAGAAGTGACTTTATTAAACCAATGTTAAGTATTGTTAAATAATAAACACTTTAATTTAACTTTTGGTAAAAAATATATGAATCTTTTCTAATCTTTTGCTGTTAATTTTTATTAACATGGCATACCAGAAAAAGTCTATTGGGGTGGAACTGATGATCAATATTTTTGGAAATCTGAGAACTATACTTTTCTCCCCTTCAATATAATGCACAAATAAACTGATTTGATTCATTAGTCTTGTTTTCCTGTCTTAGTTGAGTTATTTGTGGAATCTGCAGAAGACAGTTATTTAAATAATTATATATTTCTTTTTATTCAAGTAGCTACCTCTATAGGATAAGTACTGAGTCACTTATACCCAAAACTTAGAATAAGAGCTTTAAAAGTCAAACTCTTGTTGGGAGATAATTTTCCACAGCTGTCTTGCATTTCTGTATGTCTTGTGAGCAGGAGCACTGGCTGTCTTTGTTCTAGATTATCTCTCCAAGGATTCATGTATAGAAAATAGCCTTGAAGATAGAGGTAAAGTCTTCTCTCATAGAAAAAGGCAAGCTTGTTTACTGTTCAACGTGATAAAGATAATGTTTCTCTCTAAGGTGAAAGAAAAGATGTGCTTAATTCCCATTATAAAATAGTTGGGTTCTCTAAGCCTGGAGTTCCCATAACATAATACAACCCATTGGGTATGCAGGCATCATATAGCCTTCTTTGTGTTCAAGCCTTGCAACTTGAGGAATTGGCATGTACTCTGACATTTGTCGTTGATATGAGTAATAAAATCTTTTCTCTATCTTCTGCCAGCAGCCATGAAATGGTGGCAGACTAATTTGTTAGCTTCCAAGTGAGCAAAATCAAAGATTCTTCAAAGTTCTTGAAATCTGTTATACTTGTAAAATGCTTTCCTATTTTTTCCCCTCAATTTAGAATCAGACTCTCTTTGGAAGAGTGAATTATCATTTCTTTGCTCTGGGTTCACTAGAGACAAGGCAGGTAGACTAAGCTTTACTCACCTGAAGGAGTGACTTATGATAGTTGTTAGTTACATTCTAACTCCTTTTTTGGGGGGGTCATGACTTTCTTTGGGGGGATCATGACTATCTTTGTCATGACTTTTCCTCCTGTTTTTTTCTTCTTTTCGCAGAATTTTCTTCTGTTTGCCATAGGCACTCTTTAGACTTTTATACTTAAAGTTAAACACAAACAAAAACCTTGTTAATCTTTTTCTTAAGTAGGGGGTCTCTAACCTATGGGGGGAGTGAAAATATACCTTTCAGACCCTTATCTGATAGAACTAGAAGTTGTGTTGCAATAAGAATTTTCTCATGTGGATTTCTGCTATAAGCAGTGGACAGACGTGTACTGAGGCAGGGAAGGTTATAGGCCAAAGTCCACCCACCAGCATGTTTCAACAGCAGACTGGGAAAGCACTCCTGATCCTTGGGGAAAAGTCTGACCAAATGAGCTATAATTCGACAGTGAACACCAACAATAATAATAAAATATTGTTTTTGAAAATTTTGAATCAGTCTAAATCAGGAGTCAGCAATTTATGGTCTGTGGGCTAAATCTGGCTTGCTGTCATTTTTGTGCATGAAGTTTCATTGGAACACAGCACATCAGCTTATTCGCATATTGTCTGTGACTGCCTTCCTGTTATAGTGACAGGGATAAGTGTTGACATCACATGGCCGACAAAGCCTAAAATATCTACTATCTGGATCGTTACCAAAAAAAGAGTTTGCCAACCCCTTCCCTAAATGTTGAATATACCAGTGAGCCTCAATTTTAAGTTGTGGGGAAGACAAGAAAAAAAATAGGAGTAGGCTGATCAAAATCATCTAGTCAGACTTTTCAGAAGATGCATACCTCTCTCTCTCCTCCAGCCTCTCATAGGCTTTACCTGTTGAGAGTCACTTCTGAAACTTTATGATTTAAGTAGTTTGGATTCATTAACCGATATGGATCTTTAATGTTCACTACTTTGACTCTCTGTAACATGCACAAAATAATATTGACCATGTTATTTCTTTTACAGGGTTGTGGGAAGAAAATGTATTCATTTTTAAGAGGAACCAAACAACTGCAGGTGCTAAGGTTTCTAGGAATCTCCATTGGAGTGACACAAATCCTGGCCATGATTCTCACCATTACTCTTCTCTGGGCTCTGTATTATGATAGAAGGGAGCCAGGGACAGACCAAATGATGTCTCTGAAGAATGACACCTCTCAGCACCTGTCGTGTCCCTCCGTAGAACTGTTGAAACCAAGCCTGTCCAGGATCTTTGAACACACATCCATGGCAAACAGCTTTAATACACACTTTGAAATGGAGGAGTTATAAAAAATGTCACAGACATAAACTGCAAACTTGTTTTATTGAACTTGTGAATTTTTGAGTACACACATATCTGTTTCAGAAATATGTAGAAATAAAAATGTTGCCATAACAGAATGCCTAGGCATATATAATTTTCTGAGCTTTAAAATAAAGATGGGAAATTTTCATGTTATAAGTCACCACCTGGACAATAATTGATGTCCTTTATAATATTGAGGACAAATCTACTACCCATTTTTTTGCCTGTGTAAGATTTTTCTGGCCATAGTTATGTTTTGAGGTGGTGTAGTTTGATCTGTATTTCTGCATCCATGCAGATGAACCACATAGGGTGGGATTGGAGCTAGAGAAAAGGCTAATTTTCTTCTACCAGCTAGTATATAAAGTACCAATTAACTGCTAACATAGGAAATTAGTACTAATGACTTTTATTACTAGTGATATATTGTTTTGAGAATGAAAAAATTATACATAAAACTTTCAAGATTGGTGACTACCTAATGCAATTTTTGCAGGTTACTAAAATGTTCTTACCACTTGCAAGAGCAAACTAACACATTGTCTTGAACTGATCAGGGATCTTTTTGTATATAAGTCTTTGTTAAGTCTGTATAATTCAGTAGATATCAGTTCTTATAATGTTAAGAATAACAATTGTGAAAAGGATAACTTTGTCCTGTTATAGTACCATTATTTTTAGCCTATCCTGTTAATACAGCTTTAAAATTTTGTCTTGGGTTTATATTATATACATAACTATTAAGTTAAATACTTAACCACTAATTTTGAAATTTACTAGTGTGATACATAGGAATCATCATCACTCAGAATGAAGTTTGGTCTCTAGGAAGTATTAACAAGAACATTTACACATAGCTTAGTTGATCTGCATCTAAAGACTTGGATGCTATTTTTCTCCCAAATCAGTCTTTTGACACTAAACACTTTTCTAGAGAGCTTATCCTTGCATTCTTCAAACAAGAAGTAACAGTCTCCAAGTCAATATAATTCTACAGAGAATAATGTTCTTTCTTTTTCTCCAGAAAAATGCCTGTGAGAATCATTAAAATAAGTGACAGTTTATCTAGAGATTATCTTTCTTTTATTTCACTGATTAATATACTGTGGTGAATTACACAGATTATTAAATTTTTTACAAGAGTAAAGTATATTTATTTGAAATGGGAAAAGTGCATTTTACTGTATTTTGTGTATTATGTTTCTCAGACTATGGAAAGAAATTAATACAAGGGTCAATAAATATTTTCTAGAGAGTAATGATTTGTCTGTGCCTATTTTTTCAGACATTACAAGCACTTTTACCATCTGAGAAGACTATCAAAGGGAGAAAAACATGAGAAGGAATGACTGAATAAAGTATTAGCAGTGATATCCAAACTCAAACTAATCTATGATGCTATGTATCTTCACTGAGAAGAGTAAGAAAGATGCCCATTTATTTTTCAAGTTTGCTTCTTAACTAAGTGATAAATGTAGTTGTTTGATATAATATAAAAATATGCCCATTTGTGTTCATTTATCTTCTCAAGGTTTTTATATCACAACTTTGACCTATTATTAATTTTTAAAAGAAAAGAGATCTAAGGAATATTTGAAATTAACTACCAGATTTAAATGGAAATTGAGCAAATTACTTGTTCAATGAGATCCCAAAGCTATCCCTTTCTATAATTTCTTCAACACCCCAACTCCCCCAAATTTCCTATAATATATAATCAAGAGTCAGCTATGAGTTTTACTTGAATTATTTGGAAAATGGTCAAATTTGGCTGCTGCTTTTTGATGTGTCTCACAGACATAGCAAAAACAAGCATATATTATGTTGAGCTCAGTAAAATAAAAAAGTCTTCAAATTATAGAAGTTGGTTTCGGCATTTTTTAGACTTCAGGTATTTTGATGTATTGCCTGATTTACTACCCTCTAGAATGGTCAACATAAATTTAGACAATCATTTTATACATAATACACTTGCTTAATGGGTACAAATGACATTTATAGCAGTGGTCCACAAAAGCCTCTTATGGTAGCAGTGCACCTGGAATAATAAAACTGCAAGGGACTTTAAAAAGTGTATTTAATGCAGTAGAGCTAAGGGAGTTCACTGTTTGGGTACATTGCAAACAAAATTGTTAACTGTTTCTTTGGGAGTTTTTAAAAGCTTCCTTTGGTTAAAGATCACCATTTTTTAAAGTAAAAATTTAAGAAGATTATTTTTAGACTGGTTAACAGTCAATTCAAAGTGCCCTGGAGACTCAGAGATGGCAATAAGAGATGGTCTGTCCTTAAGCACTGTAAAATCTGGGTTAGAGATACTTGCACTAACCACAGAAAAGTAAATAAAGGAATATGCAGTGAGTAGGGCCTTGCTTAGAATAAGAGATGGAGGATCACGGAATTAAGGCAGCTACACCAAAAAGATAAACTTCAGGCAGGGTTAGTAGGAGAAGTAGAGCATAGCTAGCTCATGGAGAATATTCCATGAGCCATGATTCTGAAGTTAAAAAAGTGAACATTATTTTGGAGGCATGACCTATGGTTCAGTGTGGTGAGGCAGAACATAGAATGCTTGAAGAGACACCATGGAAAAGAAAATGGGTAAAATTTGGGTTTGGATGCTTTGTTCTGTAGGTTCAATGGAAAGTCACTGAAATGCTTTCAGAAAGAGAAGTGGTGAATGTTTCATTAGTTTAACTGGATTAGCCAAATGAGAAAGAGTTGGCTAGGAGACAGGTTCGCCCATTATACAACTGTTAGGGGTTGGGCCACCATTGACCATGTCTAGGTAAATGAAATACTCTAGAGTTGTACACACTGCCCACCCTGGCAGGAGACTGGATAGATTGCTGTCGTTGTGGTCATGGAGACAGATAAAGATACTCACCAGGACAATAGAAATTAAAAAAAAAAAAAACAGTGCATAAAACAGATTATAACAGGGTGAGTCCACAAAAACTGGCAGCAGATTGACCTTGGGGAGTGTGAGACAAGAAGTAAAAGAACTGAAATTTCTGGATTTTGTGCCTGGTAAATTGGCAATGGCATGAAACTACATAGAAGACTGGAGGGGAACGGGTGTGGGAGGGTAATTAATTTGGTCTGAGACACACTGAGTTGGAGATGCCTGCAGGACATGCAGATGGAGATGTCTACAGGCAGCTATAAATTCCAGTCTGGAACTCAGGAGAATAAGCCTGAGAGTTTTTATGCATTGCTTCCCTGTCTTGGGAAGCCTGACAGAAAATGGGCTGAGAACCAAATCTTACATGAGGAGAATTTTAAGCAGATTGCTACAAGAGTTTCCTTTTGTCTGAATTCTCACTCCTGTGGATGAGTCAAGGTGAAGAAACAAGAAATGACTACTCTACTGAATCTTACCTGACAAAAGGAACTGCCCTCCTTTAAAAAAGATACTGCTAAGTGCTGTGTTGCGTCACCCAACTCTTCTTCCTATAATTATCCTGCGATTTACACATGGATTCATCTCTCCTATGAACTGACTTCTCATTTCCTCACATCCAAGGAACCTATCTGGGAGAATCTCTGATATATCTTGAAAGCTCATTTATCTTCTATTTTAACATGTTAATTGCAGTTATTCTTTACCTCATGCTATCACGGGTGTCTACTAGGTGCCAGGCACACGTGCGAGGTGCTTCACACATGTGTTTTCTGTTCACAATTCTTTTGCAATTTGGAGGCCTCATGAACCTCATTTTACAAATGAAGAAGAGGGATTCTGAGAGACTGAGAAAAATTATTTAACGAGAACTGAGATGCTGTCTCCTTCCTTCCTCTCCATTTGGTGACATGGTATCTTCAGGATCCTATGGTGAAGCTCAGCTGATTCCGTATCTAGAAAAGTCAGAATCTCCTTCATGGGGACCACTGTCTCCAGGCCTCCAATTGGTTGTCAAATTCTATTACTGCATCCTTCAAAATGATGCTTTTGTCAGTCTCATTTCATTCCTCCTATTATTTTTGCAGAACAAGTCCAAGCTATCTAAAGCTTTGGTGGAGCCCAGAAATTGCTCTCTTCTCCCTGCCTCTTGTCTCCTCCCATGAATCTATCTTGTGCACACATGTAAAAGCAAATTAAGTTCTGGAATCAACTTTGTTGATACATATATGTGCATATATAATAAATATACCCCCTCAAGTGTTCAGATAATTAGTTTTGACAAATATATATACTCATGTAACCAAAACCACCATCAAGATACACAACATTTTTAACGTCTAGAAGTTTCCTCTTACCCTCTGTTGTAAATTCTGTAATCCCCACTGCTAGCCTTAGGCAACACTGATCTCCTAAATGTCAATCAACTAATTCTTGTGAAACAAGATGCTTATCATATCACTTTCTTACTTTTTATAATACCAGGGATCCCCGTTTAAAGTAAGACAGAAATTTCCGATGCTTTAGTGTGTACATGTTATTTATATGGTACGTTTGGGTAAATGAGGGTGAGAGGCCACTGGTCATCCAAGGCTTTGTCAGTCCATGAGGACTACAAGGAAGTTCAACACACTGTTTTGGCTCCTATGTCCTCAAAATACAGTAGCTTAAACAAAGTAGAAGTGAATTTTTATTTCATAGAACACTCATGTATGAGTAGCCAAAAGTGTAGCTAGCTGCCTGAGGGTGTCCAGGACCCAGGCTCCTTCTCTCCTGCTACTCTGCTGTACGGAGGTGTTTATCTTGCTCACAGGGTCCCAAAAAGCACAATCTACTTCCACATTTCAGGCAACGGGCTAGACAAAGGTACAAGTTAAAAGGAAAGAGGCATGCTGTTATTGTCCAAGTAATGCTCATCAGCTCCCCTTGATACCAATAAATAAAAGGAGCAGGGAGCTGGTAGAAAGTTTATTTCTAAGTTCGAATCCAGGGAGCAGAACTGGACTCAAGGTCTTTCTAAAGTGGTTCTGCTCATCCTCCAGGTTTTTACAGTTCACTTTTATAGTCCAGAGTTGTCGGTACCTACACATTAGCTACGTGACTAGCAGAGTATTGTACAGAACTTGAATTTTAGCCACATTTATTGATAATGACATTTTTCAGTCCAGACTTTCCGGTGCCAGTTATCAGAGGTATCTCATAGCTTTTATCAGTAGGGCCCAGCAGAAGCATTAATCAAGCTTGCCATAGAGTAAAGGGAATTTATAAGGCCTAAGACATCATGCATTACGCAAAAGTTATATAAATCACAAAACATGATTACATTGATGCAAAAGTTATACAAATCAAAAGGCTTATGATTACATTGATACTACGCTATTCAAACTTATAACCACTCAGAAAAAGGGAGTAAATGGAGATTTGCATCTTTCAGTTGATTGGGCGTAGACTATAGGGAAGTCAAGGGTCCCCTGAAGCTACTTACTGGGAGTGCATAGGAGATAAGGGGAAACACACCTTTTCTTAGCTCTCAGGAATATTGTTCAGGCCTAAGTATGGGAGTGCTTGAGCCCTTGCCACGTCCTTCTCCATGGACAGACATTAGCGGGTCTCTGTGTCAATGCCTCTTCCCTTTAAGAATGTACCCAGAAGCACACATTGCTATCATTCACATTGCACAGCTATTAAGGGAGGGTTGCAAATACTCTGTCCTGGACACGCATGCATCCGGTGAAACCAGGAAGTTCTATGACCACAGAATGAAGGGGAAATGAGTTTTGGTGTCATCTAGCAAATTTCTGCCACATTCTTCAGTACCTGTAGAATAAAATCTTCCACTTGAACCTATTTTTCAAACCTACCCTTTGATTCTTTTCCACATATCATATACACCAGCCAGCTAGGCCAATCGTAGTTCAGTCATTGCCTCTAACATCCCATGTATCCCGTGACTCCTAGATTTTGCTCACATCATGGTGCTTCCCTGATCTAATCTCTTCAGATTCAACTTGTACTCAACCTTTAAATCTCGGCTCAGCAGCCACCTATTACATGAAGCTTCCCCTGACTGCTTCAGCCCACAGCAATTTTTTTTCAGAACTCAGCATTTACTTATTACCATAATATCTATTTTGAGTCTTGTGTTTTTCTATTTCATAATATTACTTTTCATTTATATTGTTCTTATATTTTTTTCTTTGCTTGTGTGTCTGGTCTCTCCTGGGAACAAATATATTATTTTTTTTTCCCATTTGGCATTTTGCATAGTACTAGGTGATACCTCTTATGTATCAGTTGCGTATCTATTCACTGTGTGCATAAGTTAATATATACATGAATTATGAGTCTGTTCAAGGAGTC